ATTAATTCTACGCAATAAAGTATACAATATTATATATGCATGCCTCAATCGAGCCGCTACTTTCCCAACTTACCTATTCGCCAGTCGATGAGCAGTCCCACCCTTTCATACTTACGGATATTGGCGCCCAGTGTGGGGCGATCGCCGCGAAAAATGATCACACGCAAAACAATCTACTTAATGTATGTATAGGATAAAGTAATTCGACGTGCAAACTAAACCTATGTATGTAGAGCGAATTGTGAAATAAAAAAAAACCACACCCCGTTAAAAAAGGATCTAACCCCCCACTTTCGCAGCTACGCGAAATAAAACACACAATATATTGTTCTAATATTAATAATGTAATGACACATTGGATATCTCTAGGTGCTCCATCACATACAGTTATGTACGGGCAAACACTAAGTTCACTAAATACAAATAGCTACAGCTCTAACCTACTGCCGAGGTCCGTCGAGCAAACATTAAAAAAAAACAATCTCTTTCCAATCACAAAAGCGACGGACGCCGGCTAAAATCAGTGTTACCAACGTAACCAGTAAATGTGTTTTAGAAGAAATAAAATAAATGTTTTCATACACACGTGTGAAGTCCCTTCGAAACGCAGAGATTTCACGCAGAAAAATACATATAAATATATATAAAAAAATTAAGTACATATTTCAAATTCTATGAGCTTTACCGCTATGGCTACACTATATGTGTTACCAAGCGGTCGCCAGCGGAGGGGTTACCAACGTCACAATCAATAATAATATTATCAACCATCTAATACTAAGAATTTTAGGAAAAATGCTAATATACAACAGGTGTTATATTCGGGCGAGGCGGATGCCGTATTTTCAAGTGTCAATATTTTTTTTTTAATTTGGCAAGAAATCAAAGGAATTATTAGTTTTATTACAAAACTATAAGTTAAACAAAAAGGTCAACTCTCACAATCTCCACGACTGTTTAAATATGATCCGACACGATAAAATACGGCAAACGCGAATAATCTCAGGAGGTTCTAGCCTACTTATAATAAGAATACTGCTATAATAATAAGGATAGGTGTACACATGTGGTATAGCATTCGGTAGCCTTGGCGTGTGGAAACCACGATATCACTATGGACATGGACAATTTATTAAGTCAATTCTTTACTGGTACGCTTAGAAGTTATACAGAAAAATCTCTGTCGCCAAATCGCCAGGAAGGCAACTTCAAGTAGTACGTACTATAGGGGGTTTTGCTTGGTAAAACTAGAGATGAAACAGCAGTTTCCACACCCCGAGGTTACAACGTATGTGCCGGCCGGCGTGGGAATGTGGCCGACAAAGCTACCGCATGCATTTGGCTCTACTGTCGCCGCGCGTCTTTGCCTGGAATTTAATTTTTTTAAGATCGACATTTAGAATCCTAAAAATATATTGCGTCAGGTCATAAAAAGTTAAAATTGGACATCCAATGTGTAAGTAAAGGTAAATGTAAAAAAAATTATAGCAAATCCTTAAGTTTAGTAACTGCCTTTTGGGTTACGGAATTCCCCTTAAGGAATTCAAATGGATTTGATTGACACTATTCCGCTGAGAATTTTTATTAAATAGTAGCAAGGTATAAAAATAATTATTTTCTAAATTTAAGCTACTTCTCCATAATGGGAACTCGAATTTAATACCATTAAGTACCGCAGACAATTATTAAATAATAAGATTTTTTTTTAAGTATCTGTAAATTAAGTACCCCAACCTCGGGAGAGTGAAACTCGGGAGTTTTCTTTACGATATAGGTTATTACTGAATAAGGACCATGTCCCCGAAAATTTCGACTTAAAACTACAAATTGCACGAACACAACCTTTATTGTTTTTTATTTATAATTAGTATGATACTCGTCTAAGCACAGTATGTATGCATTAAGTATTGCTTTTAAGAGTCTCTACCATATAATTCTATCTATCACAACTTTTAAGTAAATATAAATTGATAATTTAGCTTAGAAATTTTGATGCAAATCAAAATCTTGTAATTTTCGAGTAAATAGGACTGTTGATCGTATTAAGTCTGAGATTAGCAATGTAACAAAAGAAAATTAACATTTTTCAAGCTATAAATATATGTGGCATGCATTAAATACGGAAAAAAGTGTACAAAATCCAAAAACCAAGTAACACAACGATTGTAGAAAGCTAAATAAACTACTCTGTATAAGAAACTATAGTTGTTCCATTTCACGATGAAGGTTTCGCCTTGATTGTAGTAGTGACGTGTACCGACAGGCGTGTTTGTGTGTGTAACGGCGATTTGTTCGACTCGCGATCGTGACTGAGCGCTCCCGAGGCGTACGCACACTAACACAATGTGTATGTGCACGGCTAACAACAATCAAAGTCAAACCTTCATCGTGAAACAGAATAACTATACAATATAAACTGAAACTAATTTTAAGGATTTTATCGCGTTTAATTTCAATTTTTTTTAATTCCCGACGTTTCCATGTGATCATGAGTGAGTGTAAAAAGGGTTGCCAGATAGTTGTGATTCGTCTGGATTCTCTCGACATTTTAAATGATCTCCAGACTCCCAACAAAACTCAAAATCTCCAGACAAAGCTTTTCTTCGCATCATAGCTCCCTTTGATTTAATAAAAGCTGATTTAGTAATTAGATTGAACTTTGAAGTAAATTGCTTATACAAATTGGTGGATTCAGTAATGTCTAATGCCAAATACATGTGGCAACCTAAAAATTAAGTGTACTTGAATTAGTTATAGTGTCAAAAACGTTAAGTCTTTTTGTAGCCTATTAATTTCAAAAATTTACTTTTATTTTTAATATTTATTTCTCCCGACAACAAACCCATAATCCCGACATTTTCAATTTTGTCTAGATATTTTGGTCTTTCGATCTGGCATTCCTGGCTGTAAAGCACCCTAAACGTCGGGAATTAAAAATTAAACGCGTTAAAAATCTGTAAAATTAGTTTCGATTTATTGTGTAGTGTTCGCGTAATTATAAGAATACAATATACAATATAAACTCCAAGTGAAAAAAGATAGTATATTTGTATAATGCCGCCCAACGTGGGGCCGGTCCCAGACAAGGACGCGCGGCAATGACAATCTACAGCGGCTTATAACTTAGCTTATTGTCTCGAAACACTCTGGTGTTAGTATGCATTCCTTCAACTGCTATACTAGTGTCAATTAGACGTAAAAACTAAACTTCGCCCGGTACGTGTGTCGGGGATTCTTGGAATGTTTTAGCCTCTGTTTATTTTTACCACGTTTTAAGTCACTTTCTTGTTTGACTGCGTGTCTGTCTGTCTGTCGTTCCGGGTGGAATTTAGTGATTGATTTTAAACTAACTTCCCGATGTACAAATTTTGAATATAGGTCAAATTCGGATGACAATGCAAGAATATGATACAAAAACGTAGTATATATATTTTTTTAATACAAAATAAAAATCACTTGTTTTGGATGTGGGCAAGCGATATTTTTTTGTAATTTTTAAAGTGAAAACTTAGGGTGTCATTTCTACAGCATGTGAATCGCACAAACATTTTTTTCTCCATAAAGTCTTAATTATCATATGAACTATATATAGTATGTTGAAATCAAAGAGTCACCGACACAACGCCTAAGGACAGCACTATCATAAAACTACTAAAGTCATAAATATAACGCTAAATGAGATTGCTTTCCAAGAGTTAGATATGTATGGGGGAGTATCGTGTATTGGCTGCTCCGTTAACGCCGTGTGATGTATCACCAAAGTCTTTAGTGTTTGTCATTCATACACAATAGGAGACGAAATTTAGATGAATAGTTTTTTTTTGAGCAACAAATAAGATCATTGGGTTTAATATAGAAAACACTGGGACTTAAGGTGTGAATTTTTTACAGTAAGGATAACAAACGAGCATATAGTCCACCTGATAGTAAGTGGATACTGTGGTCCATAGACATCTACATTTATCCTCGATTAAGAATCAAAATGCAGATGCGATGTTACACCTGAGGACTAAGATGGAATGCCTCGTTTCCATTAAAAACACTTAACACACGCAACATAGCAGCATTAAGCTGCTATTTTACGCTGGTATTCTGTGAGACCGTAGTCCCACCCCGGTCGTGCAAACCCCATTCGTGAATTGATTTAATATATAAATATTATTTTTTAACAACTAAATCATTATAAGATATAGTAAAGATTGAATAAGGGACTATAATTTGTGATCAAGATCGGCTTGATTCTTAATTGCAGGCGTAAATAAACAGTTGTTTATATACTTCTATATAAATGACCGTTAGAACTTGGTTCAAATTTTAAAATGTTCATATAACACACATGTGTCCCATTGTCTATGATATGACATTGCTTTTTGTCCCTATCCAGCGTGATTTGGCACAATTTAACCGTTGCAAAATGATGGCACCAAATTCTAATACTGATTTCGAATACGTCGAGACAAATAGCGCGAAGCTTGACACGAAATGGCGGCGAAAGACGTCAAATGGCGTCAACGGTCAGTATATATCTATTTTTATAAATGTGATAAAAAATACAGAGCTGAATGAGATTCGTCGAGTATACACTTCATAAATTATCATAATCACCAATCGTGCACTACTTAACTACGTTAAATCCAAGACAGATACACGAAAAAAATGTGTCATTTAGTTCAAACTAAATTATCTGAGATCTTCGCCTTATATTAATTTTTAATAAACAAATACAAAAAACAACGAAATGCGTATTCTTTGCTTCCGGGCGCCTTAACGGGCGCCTTATTGCTTGTCGAGTTCAAAAATTCACTTAAACCTACGTTAATGAGCCGATCGCTTAAAAGAAAGGACTCGTACTTCGGCACATTCGCGGCCGTCAGTCCGGCAAGACGCGACCCTAACTCCGAAAGTACGTAGGAACTATATAGTAAGAGAAAGAGAAAACACAAGTGTTATAAAAAGCTGCGTCGAGCTGACCTCTATTCGGGTGGGGCTTCGTCACCGTCTTAGATGTACATGGGGAGGCCGTACATGGCGCCCCAGTCGACTCCCTGGAAGGAGGACATGTCGACGCCGGCCAGCGAGTAGGCGGCGCCGAACTGCGGCAGGGGGGGCGCGGGCGCGGGGGCGGGCGGCGCCACGAGCGCGGGCGGCGCGGGCAGCGCGTACGGCGCGTAGCGGTAGGCGTGCGCGCCCACGCCCACGCCTACCGCGCCCACCGCGCCCACGCCCACGCCCGGCACCTGCCCGTACACCAGGCCGCGCCCCGGCCGCAGCACCAGCCGCTTGCCCAGCGCCAGCGGAGCCACCGCCACCGCCTCCTTGGGCTGCGCGCGCTTGCACTCCACCTTCTTGTTCTTGATCGTGTGGAAGTGGATGTCGCACACGCGCTCCACGGCCTCTTCCGAGTGGAAGGTTACGAAGCCGAAGCCTCGGTGACGCTTCGTCTGCTGGTCCATCAGCATCACGGCATCCTCCACCAGGCCGAATTGGGAGAAGTAGGCGCGGACCTCGTCAGCAGACGTGTCCTGCCCGACCCCTCCCACGAAGATCTTCTTCGTTTTCGCCGGACGCGGGGCGGATTTGGGGGTCGCGTGTTTGGGATCGATTCGCTTGCCGTCCAGCGTGTGGACCGGGACGGCGAGGACCTTGTCCACGGAGGCCGCCTCCTGGAACGTGATAAAGCCAAAGCCGCGCGAACGCTGCGCGCGGCAATCTAAGTACGCGTGGACGATGAAAACGGAAACTACATACTAAGTGAAACTAATTTTACGGATTTTGTCACGTTTAATTTTAATTCAGCACATTTCGAGTGCTTTACAGTACCCGTGGTCACGGAATGGAACTAAGGTAGATCTAACCAAAAATTAATATTCAAAAGCTAAAAACATTTCATTCATTTAATATGTAGTGTCCGCTTAAATATAAGAAATCATTATACGTACTAAGGCTCTAGTATTTGCATCCTTGTAAGGCGAAATTATTAGAATTTATATCAGTGAATGAACTATATATTTATATTTACAGACTACCCGACTTAAGGATTTTACTGGGGCACTGGGTTCACTACAATTAGACCTTGGCAAGGTCAACCCTCACCAAAGTCAAATTACATTGGACTAACGGCGAACCCAACTAATCGTTTTACTCTAGATATAGGCCACAAAACTATGGGTCCAATTTATAAGATATTGGATGTGATTTTGAGACACTTAAATATTTACTAAATATAAAGAAAAATATTTATAATCATGTCTATTAAAGGATATTTAAATCTCTACTCTTTTCTTTTGATATTTTAAATATATTCAAAATGAAAATAAGTCAAATAGTTAAAGATAAAACAGTAACAAAGTTTACACAATTAAATAATATAACAAACCTAAAACTTAAAAATAACAATATAGAAAAAAAATCTTGTTAAAAATAGGGAAGGCCATTTGAAAACACAAACTTTTGACGCCATTTTGAGACGCCATATTGTGTTAATGTCAAATCATATTGTCAAAAGTCAAAGTTATCGATATTATTGATTGCCGCCATTATTTATCCGAATTTTCCTCAGTTATTACAATATTCTGTTTTTGTGCTGCTTGTGTGAATATTGCATATACCAACATAATGGTATACGAAAAGTGTTGTGTTGGTGGTTGCAATACAACACATGAAACGCACCGGCTTTTCAGATTCCCTAGGAACGATAATTTAAGAAACTTATGGATGTCTTTCATAGTGCCGACAAATCCCCAGCTCATTATACTTTCCAAAGAACAGTTACGTAATAAACGTGTCTGTGAAAAACATTTTGATATATTTCAGTTCGACAATGAAGGCAGAAGATTTCGATACTCTTACCCGTCCTTGCTTACTGACAATGAAATAGCTCATGGTGTGCCTCTGACTGCAACAGGTGAGTCATTTTATTACTTTCAATCATGGTACTTAAAGGAGAAGAAGACATCTCTATACATTCTTGGGCCCAAGTGTTAACAAGATGAAAGTACGTATTATAAAGCGTATATATAAACAATTCATAGCTGAAAATCTGGCAAGATTTGTCAATCTAGGAACTAAGTTATTGTAGAATAAGTAAAAGTGAGATTATTTATTGGCTACACTGTAACAGGTGATTTTTCACTATTATTACACAGTAACAGGCTATTTTTCACTATAATTACTTCAATATATAAAAGCAGGATCAGTAAAAAATCACCAAAAAAGCTGTGGTTAATAATGAAACGATTAATGAAAGTTAAAACAACAACAACTAAGTGAAGTGAATATTAGGGATTCTGATCTTATAGATGTGCCAACTTAGAAAATTATGACTTGATTTAACTCCAGTTGAAATTCACGCAACTTGAGTTAGCAGTACGAATCAGAGTAAATGATTTGTTACAAATAACTTTTTTATAAATTTGTTTTTCTATCTAGCTCTTTGGTGGGTTGAGATAATTATAATTTCCTTTTTTATACCTATTAAAAGTTATTATGTAGGATTGATATAAAAAGGTATATTTAGTATGTATCATATTATGTATTAGTACTTATGTATTAGTCTAGCTTTAAGATGTATAATATTAGTCTAACTTTAAGATGTAGGTTGTTCGCGCAAAACACTTTCAAGGAACGAACGCGAGAGGGCGTGCGGCTCAGTGTCATACCGGTTTGACATTCGGTCGTGCGAAAAACGCCCAAGGGCAGTCGTCCATAAGCGGTGCTAACGATTGGCACGCTGTATTCTGTTAGGGAACTCGGAATAATTCGGCGCGGCCAGTAAATATACGGTCTATCATTGTGACGCGCATTCCTGCTGGAGAGCTTCCCAGGGACTCATTGTGTTTGACTCAGAATCTGCATAAGTGCATTAGGCAATATTAGCTAGTGCGGCCTCTAATATTCTAGAATAACTGTTGCAACGCGAAACGGTAGTGACCTTAATAAACTGAAAACTCCGTGTGCGTTTTGTGTGTTAACCTTATAACCAGCGATAGTTAGTGGCTTCTGTAAGTTAGTAAATCGTACGATAGAGTTAATTGACTGTCAACGTGACGAAAGAAGAAAGTGACGGTGGACAACCTTGGAAGCCCCCTCAAGTTGGAGCGGTGTCGACGCTCGGGCTGCTGCCGACGGCCAAGGTCTAGGTTCAATCACCATCAGTCACACCCAGATACACACCACATCACCATTCTTTCCCTTGCACTACACAACCACATGCGACCTGACCGACTCCGGAGGGACCAGTCGCCTTGGATATAGGTAAGTAAGCTTCGTCCAAATTCCTTCCGGTCGACTGGCCGTAGTATAACGCTCCCCCATATATTTTAGTGTAATTGGAGAGATTCCACGTGGCCACATTGGGGCCCGACCTACGTCTGTTCGGGAAATCTTCAGCTCATGGGCCCCTGAGGATTGGATCCTTTAAGGGAGCAGCCGTAGGCCGTAACATAGGTACATAAGCTATTACTAGTTTAATTACAAAAGGTTGAAGTTTAAAGTCAAAATATTCTTAAATAAATTCAATATATTTATTGTGAGTTAAGTGTTACATTTGGCCTTAATTTAAAATATGATGACACTATATTGATCGTAATTAATCAAAATTATAAAGGGAATTAAATTACACAACTAGCTATAATAAAATTCTAAATAACAAATTGTTTTGGTTGTAGCTAAATACTCTTTGAAACGCAAAGCGTGCACACAACGAATGAATTGCACTTTTACTCTTTTGCTAGCTCACTTGATCCGTTTATGTATAGCAACCCAAACTCAAGTTAGGAAGATTCAACTCGAGTTAACTCATCACTAATCAATCTGAGATCGATTACTTGAATTATTGTTATAGCTGTTACTTGTTGGAATGTTGATATTTTGTATTTTTTATTATTATTTTGTAGACAAGTATGCAATTATTATAGCTAGTTCACACCAATTATCTCCCTAGTTAACACAGAAAAATAATCAAAAATAGATATTAAAATGCTCAATTTAATTGAGAATACCGATTATTATATTATATATAATTTTTAACAGTGGTAGAGCCACGCGGCAGCTTTTGCTGTCGCACGGATGGGCCGGCTCGAACCGGGGAAGTACCACGACCTCACAGAAAACCAGCGTGAAGTAGAGGTTTACCTCTGCGTTTCGCTTGGTGAGTGCAGGTGGCCGGAGGCCCTTTTTACTGGAAATGAGGCATTCCATCTTAGTCCTCACGGGTGAGAGCGCATCTGCATTTTGATTTGTAACAGAGGATAGATGTAGATGTCTATGGGCCGCAGCAACCACTTACCATCAGGTGGACTGTGTGCTCGTTTGTCACCCTTATCCTATAAAAAAAAAAAAAGATATTATGTAATAAACAATATTGAATAAAAATCATTCTATTCTATAAAAATATCACAATATCGAAAAAGCAGCAATTTATTACAAATTTCCAAAGATTGCATGTGGGTAAATTTTTTTCCAGAATAAGCATTTTGTGGGTTGGCTAACTAAGGACTCTCTTTTTACTCTTTGACTTTATGATTAGTTAGGTACAAATGTCATTGACTCTACATCGTTATTTGCTATGATTATGTAATGTTTTCAGGATGGGATGTCACAACTGAACATAATTATTATAAAGTGCAAGACAGGGTGCGTAATCTTAATACAAAAAATAGAGAAATGAAGAGCATACTATACTGCAAAATAACATAGTACGCAAAAATGCTTTTAGTTAATAATAAAGTATGTATTTTTAATTTAATAGTATTATAATCATTTAATTCAAACTCTCATGTTCAGAGGGCAATAGTAGTGCTGCAAATATTTTAAGTCCTCGCTAGATGGCGCTGTATAATTTTTAGCTAGTACAAAGCTTTTAAAAAAAACTACTAAATTGGTACTCTTTTGTATAAAGTAGTATAATAATTTATAGTGAAAAGCGGGGAATATTAGATATATTTGAATTGGTTTTTATATCAGAGATAAATTTAAAAGGATTGATTGGATTAAAAAATATTTTATTTTGATTTTAAATAATTCTTTATTCTGAATATAATTATTTATTAGTACTTTTACTGCAAAATTATACTGGCAGCACTGAAATTTATTTGTTATTTTATCAAAATCAAAATTTCAAAAATGTCTGTTACTGTTATTTTCGTGCTTGTTGTGTATGAATATTTTTTGATTATTTAAAGAATCTAAGAATTTCATATGTGAATTTGTCGTTGAGTAGAGCTTTTGTTCCTCCGGTTGAGTTAATAACATAACAGTGATATTTGTGCAACTGAGATAGGACTCGTGTTTACTGTGTGTATATATTGTTTTTAAGATAGGACTTGTTAGTTTGTACGTATTTCTATTGTATTTTTGGACAATCCGATACAGGACTCTTTCTATAATAGTTATAAGTGTATAGTAATTGTAAATTTTGGTGTAATAATGTCATCAGATAAACATTGTTGTGTTCCTGGGTGTAAGGAAAGTCAAGGTAGGTACTTAGTAATCCGTTAATATACTATGTGCTATGATTCAATTTTTATATTATTATTATTAATATATAAAAATTATATACTCGTAACACGCACTGTACAACCAGTGCGTGTTGCCAGTGATGACATATGGAACTGAGGCGTGGTCCTTCACTGCTGGCCGGATGAGGAAGCCGGAGAATCAAGGTCGCTGAGCGAGCTATGGAAAGGGCTATGCTCGGAGTTTCTCTGCGTGATAAACTTAGAAATAAGGATATCCGCAGTAGAGCCAGAGTGACCGACATAGCCCAAGGGATTAGTAATCTGAAGTGGCAATGGGCCTGCCATATAGCTCGAAGAACCTACAATCGATTGGACGAAATGTAGGGCGTCCCCCTACTAGAGGGAATGACAACCTGGTAAGACATGCAGGAAGTCGATGGATGCAGGTGGCTCAGGACCGTGCTTTGTAGCATTCCTTGGGGGAGGCCTATGTTCAGCAGTGGACTTATGAAAGGCTGTAATGATGATGATGATGATATATATATATATATATATTTAAAACAAGTAGGATTAAGTTCTAGGGCTCCTAAATCAAATACTGTTCAACTTCCTTTACTAGGAGCTAAAGCTTCCTCCGGGTTATTCCGTTTATCCAGGATTCCAACCTAAGGTGGATTCTTGGAAACGCATGTTTATCTTTCTGCCCCAGATAGGGTGGATAATCGGAATTCACCTTTATTTGTTCTTCCAACATTTCATTGTATTGTTTATAATTCTATAAAATTAAAATCAGCAAATCTGAAAATCTTAATCATATTTTTTTTTATTAATTCTAGACAGGAAGCAAGTCCTGCATAGATTTCCAAATCCAATTAAGGAACGAGAGCGCTTCAATAAATGGGTGTATGCAGTTGGTGGTGATATTATAGGCCTAGAAAATGAGCGGATATATAAGTATCGACGTGTGTGTCGCAGTCATTTTGAGGACAAGTATCTATGTCACAGTAATAATATTAGCAATACAGCTATGCCAACATTATATATGCCAGGTTTGTGGATATAATTTAGTAGACTTAATGCTTTAAACATAATTCATATGATTAGAGTGATGCCTCTTGGTTTACAAATTATTGTTGTTGACTGTTGAATATTATATGTACTATGCATTTTACTCTATTACCCACAATTAAATTTATTTATTTATTTAACATACTTAATTGAAATTTAAACTGTTATAGTTTTACAATCTGCCAAACTGCTCAGCAGTTTGTTGTCAGAAAAATAAAAAATAAAATATACAACTTTAAATATAACAAACCAATAGTATTTTTCTTCTTTAAAATGTTACTCCCACACTAGGATTTTCTCCTGTATCGTAGAGGCAGTTTACATACATAAATTTCTCAAAGACAAACATCCAGACCCAGAACAATTATTTGCAGGCCATACAAATACTTGTTCCATGCGGGATTAGAACCCGCGGCCCCCAGTGCAACAACTCATTGCTAAGCCACTGTGCCACGGAGTTGTCAAACACATATACAGTATCAATATAACCTTCAGTAATTTAAATAACAATAGCATTTTTTATATATGCATAAAATGTAAACAACCCATACATAATAACTACAGTTTATATTGTTTTTTATTGGATTGTCATGATACATGCCAAATTTCTACTATTTATTACCTATTTTGAAACTTGTTTGTATAATGCATAATGTATTCTTTAGATAAATTTTAATATAATTTTTGATTATTAAGTGTTGGAATATTCTTTTGCCATAATAATCAGCACATTTATATTGTAATGTGTTAACGTTAGAGGTTGTGTGTTTATTTGTGTGGTTTTTTGTTACCATTTTCTTGAAAAACTACTTTGCTGATTTTGATGTAGTTTTTTGCATTATATACATATTATTCCATAAAAACATAAAATCTAAGAACCTACCCAGTTCTTAGATTTTATGTCTCATAGTTATAGACCACAAGGAGATTTATTTATCATGAAAATACAATAAAATGTAAACACTGGGTTCCAACTGCATTAATAAATACTGAGGACGGAGGATATGCCAATAGTAAATAAATATTGTGGTTGACAGGTATAAACTTTGTCACTATACTTCAGGTGCCAACTCCTTAACCTTACGCTGTAGTGGTAATGCCCACGTAAACCATGTGGACTAAGAATCTGTCAATTGTAAATAGATATTGTGGCTACCGGGTATAAACATGCTACCAGGGTACTGCCTACACAAGTATCACCTCAGAGCAGGTCCTTAGATATGTTTTAAGGTTATTTAGGCCACCATGGAACTCTGCTATTGGTTGTGGGTTCTTAAAATTTGTCTTTTATTTAAACTTGTATAAATTTCAATTCCAGGACCATTAACCCTTCCAAAGACCACATTTAGTGAGAAGAAACTTATGAAACTCATCCAGACTTACGATGATAATATTCTAAAACCATCAACATCAACAGGTAAAATCCATATTAATATATATTAATGTTATAATAAAAGCTTAACCTATTTTAACGAAAATTGATACAGAGAAAGCTTCTATCCTGGACATAGGCTACTTTTTATTCTGTAACTCTTCAAAGAGTTGCCATGGAAATTTTTATAAATGTCAATCCACACACAAAGCTTTGGGCATCATCTAGTATACTATGTTATATGTATGTATGTGCAGAGAGATGATGTGATACAGTAATAGTAAATAACTATATAATATTTTGTATAAAGATAAATTGTATTAGTTATGCACCTAGAGTTCCTCATCGTCATTATATCAACCCATTGCTGGCCCACAACTGAGTTTGGGTCTCCTTTCCATGCTTTCCAGTCATAATAGCAACTCCTACTGCTCCAACTGTATATTTATATTGCCTGTGATAAACAGACAGATGGACAGAACTATAAAGATTTCTTGTTTTACTATGGAACCCTAAAAGCTGGACAGGTTGGACTCATTAGTATTTAGCTGGATGTATTAATAAACTTTTATTAATTGTTTTGTAGGTCCACCAACTCTGCAAATGTCTAATAAAAATAGATCTTTGCAGCATCACCAGACTGGTATGGTAAAAAAGTTCAATCTAAAATTATAATCTTTTTTCATGCAGATGATATTAAAGCCTGTGGCAGACTCTAAACTCGAAATATTAACTTACGACCATTATTACGATAGATGCCCATTATGCCTTATTCATCATCAAAATAATTATAACTTGATCTTATTTTTGTTTTAGATTGTCAAAATTTGTCTACTTCATGTATGAAAATGAGCATGCTAGAAGATACCTTACAAAAGGAAAATATTGGTTGGTACTTATTTCTTTTAAATGTAGTCAAAAACTGAATAGCAAATGCAAAGCATGTACGAGTAGCACATAATATTTTTAATATGACTGTATCTAATAGAAATCACGATTATTTTCTTATTTTTATTAACAATTATTCAACATTTATACTGGAGTCAAGTCAACATTATATGTGGTATTCTAACAATTCTAACAAATAGAATTTACTCAATTAGATAGGGATTCTTCACTTGGCCCAGACTCTTATAAATAGGTCCAGGTCACTGATAAAACCATTCTCTTCTCTATCTAAAATAATCCAACCACACCTTATC